TAAAAATTTAAAAAGTTCTTCGCTCAGAACACTCTAAATAGAACAATGTAACACCAAAAAAAAATTCAGCTTAGTAGCTTTATCCAATCAAAAGTTATTTTTGTTAAAAGACCACAAAAATTGTGAAAAATTAAAGGCAAGAAAAACCTTAAAGAAAAAATAAATAAAATTAAATGAAACAATAAAACTCAAAAACCAAATTAAAATGCTCCACTAGCATATGTCTCTCCTTCCTCAAGTTCATTTTTATCATTATGACCTTTTCTAATTGAAAGAAGTTTCTTTCTTCTTTTTTTTACTGAGATAGTTGACTTTTTTCTCAGATTGTTTGACACGACAAATATCAGATAATCTAAAACCTTCTTTAGTGAAATACCCATCATCTATGCCCAGTTTATTAAAAACTGGAAGCAGTCCTTGGGCACCGTCATTGTATGCAATAACAGCAGATGCAACTGCAGTTTTAAAAACATCATTTCCAATGTATACCCTTTTTGGGCACCGTGTCCATATCAAATTGTTCAAAGACTCATTGACATTCTGGGTCTCACCATGTAAACATTTTGTCAGAAGTTCATCACTACCAAGACCTCTGTGAGAAAATATTGGAGCAATAACATCAGAAACAGCTTTATGAATATTAACTTTTTCTTTATATGTTTTTGCTCCTGTGATTTTATCACTTTGGTATCTGCACCAAGAATCAGAGCTACGTGGACAGAACTGATGTCGGTTTTCTAAATTTGGCTCATCTGTTGCGTGGTGTAAAACCGCAGCAACAGCCTTTTTCATCCCATACAGGTTGCCACTATCTTGTCGTATGGCCATTCCAACATGGTTTTGAAGAGTGTTCATGACTTTAGTAGTTAGCCGACCTTTCCTTCCCCCAATGCTTTTACCATCAGTCAACCTTTTTCCATTGTAATCGGCTTCAAGTTTACGCAGTCGTGTTCCAACACGTTTTTGGACATGTCCTATACATTCTTCTTTGGTAATGCTATGACCTGGATATGGATCTGATTTACATATTTCTTCAAAGGATTTTGTATCACCATCTCCAATAAAAAATGTGTATCTTAAACAATGAAGACGTACTGAACGTGCAAACATTCTTTTCATTCCTACAACTTCCATAGCTCCAGCACTGCCAATGTGATTTATTGAACATAAATGAGTTTCTTTCCAGTTATTATATGCATCTACATTCACTTTTTTTAGTTCCCACATTTCACATTGTTTACATTTTTTAGATAACACTTCAGTATCGATGCATTTCCCCTCCGAAATTAGTGTAACTACTCCATTCAAGGAAGAGTATCCTTTTTTTTGCCAAGCACCGTCACCACTAACTTTAGCATCAATAACAACAGAATCATCTACAGACCCATTTTATTTGATAAAATATGTTCAATGTCTATTGTTGCAATACAAACAGGGCATCTTCCAACTATATTAATAAGAGACATAAGAAGATCACTGTCTATAAAAAAATAACACAACCTTTATTTAGAAGCTCTGAGTTGAGAACGGTTTTTGAGGCTTTAGTGTATAGCTTATAAACTGAATAAATAGAGATATTTAAAAGAATAAAAAGAAGCCTTTTAGGTGAAAACTAGAAGTTTTGATCAGGTTTTAATCCAGAGATACTTGAAAAAAAAGCGTTGCTAAGGCGGTTGCTATGGCCTAAGAACTTAAATACCTTTATCTAGAAGGGTAAATTTTGTATGAATGCATAAGTTTTTTTAAATCAAACCAAGTTTCCACAAAAAATAACACCCTAAAGATCTCAAAAATATAGTTTTTGAAATTTTCAAAAAATTTCAAAAAACGCCTCTTTTTCACCCTGCTACCACCTTAATAAAACAATTATTAACATTAAAAATTAAACAAACCCAGCATGAACATAAAGAAGCAAGACCGGTAGAGTTTCGGCTAGAGTTGCATTGGTCGTAAAGGAACCAGGGACCTCATAAGACAATATCTTTTTTTAAATAGTTTTAGAGAAATATATAAAAATTGCAGGAAAAAAACAGTTTTGGGGATTTTTAATTAGTATTTGCACAGGGTACCAAACAGACCAGCACTACCTCTATACAGAAGTAAAAAACAAGACTTGTTTTGATAAAAGAAATCATGCGTGAAGATTAAAAACATGAAGAATGTTTTAAGTATAAACAGCCGAACAAATGTTAGCAAAAACAAGTAATATTTAATGAGATGTTTTATCGGACGGAGTAAATGTCGGTACCTTTGATGTAAAAAAGTAACTAAAAAGTAAGTTTGTGGATTACGTTTTATAATACTTAATAAATTTTAAATTATTAATCATAAAATTAATAGCTATAAAGTAAAAAAGTATTTATAACATTAATACGTGACCAATAATTTAAGCAAAAATATTCAATAAGCCAAGCTTATTGAATATTCTTTTCAAAATCAGCATGAAAAATTTAATAAAAATACAGTCTACTACTTACAAATGTCAGAAGAGAAATTCAGAGCACAAAACCAGAAGCCGAATCCAAAAGTCTATTATTGCAATCAGACTTTGATACAACAAACTTAAAATATCATTTTAAAAAGAATTTATATATATATACAAATTAAGATAAGTTTTGTAAAATTTCTGAACACATGTATGTGCATATATGTTTATAAATGCGGATTAATGAATGCTCTAATACCGGACAACATCCTTAAAATACCTCTCAATTTGAGTCCATTAGAATAAAAATAATAACGTAATTGTTAAGCTCTTAATGCCCTATTCCCTAAAATACATTTAAAAACAAATTTAAAACTTTTTAATGTTATATTTATTTTTTGTTGTGTTGTTTTTCTTTAGTTAGATTACGACACAAAAACTTAAAACTTTGTAAATTAAAAAAGTTAAATTTGTACAAACAAAGAAACTCACAATATTAACAATTACCCGGTATTTGGGTAAATGTTGATATTGTGAAACGGATAGAAAAGTTCCATCTGACAAAAAAAAAAGTAACAAAAAATGACTTTTGCTAACGTTGATACTAAAAAAAAAATACATCAGAAAAAGAAACTAAGTTGATGAATTCAAACGTTGTGAAGCTATTACAAATATTGAAGTTTTTTATTTGTTTTTTTAAAGAAAAAACGATTTCAATGATTACTTAAATGCTAACATTAAGTTAATAGTGAAGATAATTACTTTACTACAAATTTGCCTAAGTAATATAATCATTATCAACTCAATATATAAATAACTAAAGATAACTCAAGCTCTTAATTTATCTTGAACTCTTGAATGAAAACTCCACAATCAACATTAGCTAGCAATCATGATTAATGAAGAATATCCACTCAACATAGGGGAGAGGGGGAGCATTGGTACGTTTCGACCAGAAATTGAAAAATAAAAAATAAAAAGTTAATAAAAAATCGGAAACTAATCTTTTTCACAATTTTTCCAATGTATTGGCAACATTTAAATATAATTTTATATAATATAATTTTTAATATAACTTGGTGTTATAATATAACATAATCAAATATCAAAATCTTTTTAACTTCATGAGCTATTTTATCTAAATATCAAAAAAATTCGCAAAAATGCTGAACGCTCGCGCAAGTACTATTAGTGCTGACGGCTTGTGTTACTCGCTAAGTTCATTTTATACAGGCGATGCACTGCTCGTGCACTTATTTACTTCTGCTGAAGCCTATACACATATATTCAGCGGCGTATCCAGGCCGATTTTGATGATGGTATACTGGTATGGGCCCCCAAATTTCTACCCAAATTCAATTTAAAACCATTTTATATTTGCACCAAATATAATTTATGCTAACAAAAATTAATGGTTAAGTACAATACTTTTGAATTTTCAAAACGTTTTTTGTGTCAATGCTATTACTATTATTATACCAGTACTTTTATTATTATATTATTAAACCATTAGTAATAATATTTATGTATTATACCATACTATTATTATACCAATAGTAATACTAGTAATATCAATAAACAAATTAGTAAAATATAAATCGAAGTTTTTTGATTAAACTCTCACATTTGAAAATCTATAATTTAGGATTTTTAAATGAAACGAAATAAACAAAAGTTTATTTTTGTATAATAAAACTTCTTTGTATAATAAAACTTCTTTAACCGTGACCATAATACTAATAGTTAGGGTATGCACATAGAGTTATGGTATGGATTTCAATAAAATAATCTTTATGGTTCGGGTCAGGGTTGAGGTATTGCTTTCAATAATAATCGTTTCGCGTTACGGATTTTCTAAAAGAGGATGCCTGAAACACACGTTCAATAAAACGCTTTAAAAACCCGTCGTTTTAGTACGCAAAGCCATTGTCGTGATATCAAAAAAAGGAAGTCAACACTTTTTTTTTTTTATTATTTGTCTTTTGATAAAAAATTTTAGTATTTGTCTTTTGATAAAAAATCAGCAAAGCATTGTAAAACTTTTTAAACTTAAATTAAATGATCTAAAGTCTATGGCAATGCTTATTGATAATTCAAAAACAAAAAAGAAATAATTTAATAAATCAAAGCAATAACATAAAATGATATTGGATGAGTTTGATGATTGCATGAAAAATGAGTTTGATGATTGCATGAAATATTTAGGCCTTATTATTGATTACCAACTTAATTTTACAGAACAAATCAAAAATTCATCAACTAATTTGTAAAGAAAACTAGATATCATGGTAAAATAAGTAAGTATTTAATTCAATAGGCCATGGTTTATTAATAGTTTGAAAAGATTATCTTTTTTGTACCGAAATGATAATGTTTCAAACTATTATTGCCCCACACTACAGGGCTGACGAATGGGTTTTGAAGTGGAGGAGCAAAATCGTTTATTTCTGAAAAAATCCACTATATCTAGCAATTTCAAAAAAAAAAAAAGATATACCCTCCCCCCCCCGTTTGTGGGGGAGGGGAGGGTATACTTTCTGGTGTTGTCAGCGCCGCGTTATTATCACTGTGCTTCTATTTTTCTGGATATATACCATAACTTAAATATCTTAGAAAAAATACAAAACAAAGTAATAAGAATTATATTAAAATGTGACTAGAATGTTGAACAGAAGTGTTGAAATTGCTCGGTTGGATCAGCATAAAAATAGAATAATTGTTAATAACATCAAAATTACATATTTTAGACATTATGTTAAACAAATTGCGAGTTACATCCGCATAACACTAGACAAGCTAGTTATTTTCATGGAAATAACCAATCTAATAGAGCAGGGCAGTCATAGTTCGTATGCGGTTTAAAACTATATCATTAAATCAAAATTTTATTAAAAAAAAAGACTTCTTCAAACATTAGAAGAAACTTAACTAAAATATAGTGTACATTTATTTTAATCTCTTGTAAAATTTGCTAAATAAATAAATGAAAGTAACTAAAGCTATTAAAAAAAAAGTACTACCTCTTATTTGGGATATGATCAAAGTTTAGAAAACCATTCCGAAGTTAAAAGAACTTTGCAAAAGCATAAGACAAAATAGCTTGATAAATGGCTAAAGCAAATTTGTCAGGTTAGTTGATAAAATGAATAAAAGTTACATTTGTGATTAAATGTTTTATTACTTTTATTTGTAACAAAATAAAATTTTTTGTTGTTTTGTTAAATTTTTTTTTTTTTTACCAATTTTCAAACATTGAAAAAACTTTATTTTAATGAAACTTTGTAAATTTATAAGAAATTTTTTAAAATCAGTTTGTTGTAGACAGTTTATTTTATACAGATATTTATTTGTTTTTGTCAATTTTTTAATACCTCCACTGCATGAGAAAATAGAGCATGAGAGTGTGATTATTTTTTTATGAAATTTGGCAAGTACATAAAAAAATTAAATGACTATGTGAGAAAAATAATTCAATATATCTTTGGTATGAATGAACTTCCTGAATAGGAACAAAGTTTTTAATACCAATAAAGAAAATTAAAAAGTTAGTAGCTATAAAAAAAAACTAATCATAATAAATCTAAACTTTTAGTTTCAATCTAAGTCAATATAAAGTTGTATAAAGTTATAAAGTTATATAAATATATAAACTTAAAATTAAAGTTATAAATAAATACACAACAAGTTCATCTTTACAACACAATCGCCAAACACAATTTAAAAAAAGAATCACAGATTTTTACTTTTAAATCCATACTGTAAAAGCTACTGTTTAGATACTATATACTGTTTAGATGTCAAGTTGTCAAAAAATGACTATACTGTTTAGATGTCAAGTTGTCAAAAAATGCCATTCCTGTCCAAAGTTTATGGAAATAAAAAGGATCATTGCAAAACGCAAAAAAAATTTTTTTTTTTAATGTTATTTTTTCCATTCTTGCTATATTCACGATGCTGTAGATATTATTTGTGATTTTGTCAATATTACTCCTTGTCTAATACAAAAAGTATATGGTGATTCCTACTCTTAAAGTTTGATTAAGAAGGTAATGTTAAAGTATCAACTAAATGTTTTTAAATGCTCCTTGAAATAAAAGCAACATTTTTGTTGGGGATATAATACCTACAAAAACTTAAGATTTATATAAGTATTTGTATCTAGTGTATCTGGGAAAGTTTTTGAGATTATCAAATCATTTCTTTCTAGCTGCTTTATTAAAGTCATCCTTGAAGGCCAACACTTTTCTTTATTTTCAGTAACTTTTGGGTACCTCAAGGTTCTATCCTTGGTCCTATTTTGTTTCTTTTCTTCATTAATGATCCTCTAGTTTCTTAAATAACTAACATTAAAATTACACGCCAATGTTAATAGTTTAAAATTAAGCGCGCAGATTTTCATTTTATTTCTTAAAGGAAATTTGATAAACTGATAAACTTTTTCAAAATTTTCATGATTATATGATAATTCAGTACATACTTTTTCCAAATAATAATCTGAATATTTTTCAAATCTTGTTTTTCAAAACTCTGATTATTTTTTAACCGGTCAATCATGACCGGCAAGAATTCATTTTGGGAGGTCAAAATAGCAATTTGACTCATTTTGGGCTGTCATTGACCGTTGACTGGCCGTTATTTTTCTCACTAATATATATATATATATATATATATATATATATATATATATATATATATATATATATATATATATATATATATATATATATATATATATATATATATATATATAGTATTTTCGATTTCAAGATGTTATTAGCAGAACGTGTTTTAAACAAATATCAGTATAATTTTAAAATTTACGTATCTTATATCTTATATTTATTGCACTAGTATTAGTTTTGTTTTTAAAGCAAAATAAATATAAGTTGGGCTTTTAAAGAGTTTATTTAATGAAAGTTGTTTTTAATCGGTTTAAAGTTTGGTTTGTTTTATAAAAAAAATTCTGCTGCATAAAACTTAACGGCAAAGGGAAAATCCAAACAACATTTAAACTCGAGTTTAAAAGAACTTTTTTGTATGACGTCATTTATTAACTACAAAAGCGCATTATTTAGAAATTAAAATGAAGTTATATGTAATGCTAACATTTTGAAGTTACTTGAATTAAATTTTTTTTTTTTTTTTTTTTTTACTTTAACATAAATTTAGGAAATTTTTATTAGTAAAAAAAATTGTAAATTGTAAAAAGCGTATCGTAAATTGTGAAACGGGTACATGAAATCGTGAATACGTACATAAAACTCAAATAGGGAAACACTTCTTAACAAGGCCTGTATATATATATATATATATATATATATATATATATATATATATATATATATATATATATATATATATATATATATATATATTTATATATATTTATATACATATATATTTATATATATATATATAACCAATGTCGCAAAACTTGCCCAGAGGTGGGGTTTGAATCACGGATCTAATGTTTCTGAGGCAAGTGCGCTACCACTGCTCCATTGCTGCTCCGGTAACCACTAATACCATATATGTGTGTGTGTGTGTGTGCACACACACACACACATATATATATATATATATATATATATATATATATATATATATATATATATATATATATATATAGTACTAGTAGTGGTTACCAGAGCAGCCGTGGCGCAGTGGTAGCGCACTTGCCAAAGAAGCATTGGATCCGTGGTTCAAACCCCACCTCTGGGCAAGTTTTGCCACATCGGTTAGGAAGGAAGTGAACTTTCAATTAAATGCTCATCCGCGATGCTTTGTGATGAGATTGTAAGGACTTTTTGGGGCACCTGAAATAAAAATTTAAAATTTTTATTTTAGGTGCCCAAGAAGTTCTTCTGGTCTATTTAGTAAAGTAGAATTTCAGTATTATAAATGTGAAAATAAATATTACATAATTATAATACAAAGTTATTTTTCATAAATATAAACCACTTTATTTTTTTCTCTATTTTTAAATATTTGTTAAAAATTTTGTAAAATTCTTTTGCAAACTGTATCATATAAAAAGTGATAAAGTTTGAGTTTCAGATCAACTTTTTTTGCTTACAAAATAGGATTGTTTTTTTTTTATATGTAACAGTCACTGATTTTTTTGTAGTGCTTAAGATTATGTTTAACCTTATACACATGGTTAACAACTTGCGGACTTTATAATATAAGTTATTTTATACTACAACAATTGTTTTGTTTTTAGTAAAGTAGAATTTTAGCTTTATAAATGTAAAATATAAATATTACATAATTATAATACAAAGTTATTATAAGCTTTTTAAAAATAAAAATTTTTTTTTTTACATTTGAAAAAGTAAAAAGTAATACATTTGAAAAAGTAAAAAGATCTTATCATTGCTTTTTTTTTATTTTGCTCAAACTCATATATATAATATCAAATTATTATGCACTAAATTATTGCATAATTTTTATATTATGTAATGAATTATATATTTGATATATTAATTATAATTATTAAATAAATTATATAAACTTGTCTTAATTTGAGCAACAACAAAAAATAAAATAAAGTTAAATGCTCTGATAAAAATATTGTAATTATATAAACAATTTTATTGTTTATAAATTGTTGTAATAATTCTTTAACTTCCTGCATTTTTTTACATGAAAATTTTTTACAGGAAAATATAAAATATTTTTTATAAGAAGTAAAAAACTTTTATAGCTCTTTGTTGATCAAGTTTTCCATTTAATGAATAAAGTTGTTAATGAGTAAATGGATAGCTAGAGTGAAAACCAAAAGAAAACGCTCAATTAAAGAATTTTTTTATGTTGCGATAAACAATGCTTGTTATGTATACACTCTTGTAACATTAATGTTACAAGCATATGTTTGTGACGAATATAAAAAGCCAATTTTAATTAATAAACAAATCTGCTCTTAAATTCCCCCCCCCCCTTTTTTTTTTCCCCTTTATTATTATAAATTCTAAATTTTTCAATTAATTTATATTACCTAGGTTTCAGCCTTTTCAAGTTTTCTTTGAGAAAAAAATCAAGATGGGTTGTCTGGAAAAACTTCAAGATAAAGTACCATGTTTTATGTCCAGAAAATTTTCGTTTACCACTATGACATTTCTTCTAACGACTTTTTTTCTTATTGAAATAGTTGTTGGTTATATAACAAATTCAATGGCATTAATAGCTGAAGCATTTCACATGCTCTCAGATGTTGTATCTTTAATTGTTGCTTGGTTAGCGTTAAAGTACTCTTCAAAACAAGCACCAAAGGATAAATATACATATGGTTATGCACGCGCAGAAGTACTAGGGGCACTTGTGAATGCTGTATTTTTAGTTGCTTTATGTTTTTCAATTTTTATTGAAGCAGTAAAAAGACTTGTTATTGTTGAACCAATTGAAAATCCAATTTTAGTGTTTTGGGTAGGAGCAGCTGGACTCATTGTGAATCTATTTGGAATGTTTTTATTTTATCAAACAGGACATGGTCATTCTCATGGCGGAGTTTCACATTCCCATTCTCATGGAAATGAAAATGATAAGCACAGTCACGGAAAAGAGTCAAAATCTCATTCTCATTCACACGGAAGTAAAAATGATAAAAACTTAAATAAAAAATTGTCAAGTCATTCAAATGATGATAAAAAAACTGTGAATAAGGAACTATCAAAGCATATACATATTCACACAAATTCACCTGGTAAAATATCTCACCGAAGTAACAATGAAATTTCTTCTAGTAGCAACAATGGTCACTCTCATGGTGGGGAGAATGGGCATTCTCATGGTGGTGAAAATGCGAATGGTGAACATTCACATGGTGGTAACAACAGACATTCACATGGTGGTGACAATGGGCATTCACATGGTAAGGATAACGGGCATTCACACAATGTTGACAATGGACATTCACATGGTGGTGACACAACAAACCATTCAGATACTCAAGATTCATGGAAACATCTTTGCATAGATGATGATGAAAAAAATACGCACAAATGGGAAGAAACTAAAAAGCTTTTAAATGAAGAAAAAAATGAAGGTAAGTGGCTTATTACATTTATTTTTAAAGGTTGTTATAAATGGTTGTGAGAGAATTATTAGCTATCACTAATTAAATAAAACCTGTCATGTAGAGGCAGGTTCAAGCTAAGTTGTAGATGCTAAAAGCGCAAGACATATAAATCAAGTTGTAGAGGCTAAAAGAGCAAGACAAATATAAATTAAATGTATATCATAAGAGACAAAGACACAAAATTTTTAAGTTGTTAAGCCTTAATTTTGCAATATTTTGATTTCGGTACATAATATATTTAAATTATAAATTTATTAATATGTATATTATATATTCAAAGTACCTGATTTTATATCGTCTTCTGCATTCAAACTTCAGCTTTTTTGGCTTCGGCAACCAATTGTATATGGCTTGACTCTATAAGTACTATTACTGAAGGATTACTTTGGTAAAAAAAACTTTAATGCATTAGAACATCACTTTTTTTAAATATATATTTCGCTGTTTATAAATAAAATGTTGTAAATGTTGATCATTAATATAGTTTAAAAAACAGACAGAGACTCAAAGAAGAAAAAAAAACATTGTCAAAATGCAATAAAGTGACAAATAATTCTTATGAAAGTAGTGAATAAATTTTTCTGATGTCAGAATCATGTTTTAAACTTTACAAAGAGCAAAATACTAACTACTACATTGCCCTGATAAGAAAGTAACTAAATTTTTAATTGGGGCAGCACACTAACAGAAAGAATTTTTTTATTTTTAAATTAAATCAAAAATTTTTGGGAGAAAAAAAAAGAAGTAAAATTCTGATACCAAAAAGATAGATTCTGATACCTCATATTTATATAGTAATAATAATTATTATTTGTTGCTGAAATTTAGCAAAATTTAAATAATTTATAACAAATTTTTTTTTTAAATTGTTAAATGAAAGTGTATTATCAGCCGGTGACTTTATATATTAATTACAAAATTGCAACAGTTTAAGTTAAAGAATAGGTTTTTTCAGATGTGTAACTGTTGTATTTTTGTAACTAATTCATTAAATAAATAGCTTTTAGTATATTTATCTAATTATTTTATGAATACTTTCACTGATATAGATAGCAGGATAAATGGAGGCAATTTCATACAGTGGCTATTCTATTAAGAATAAAATTCTCTTTTTTAAATAATTTTAATGTTAATTAAATTTAACAAACAAAATTTTCACACCATAAGTGTTGGAGAAAAAAGACAGGGTGCATATTATATAGATGATTTTTTTCCAGGAATCCCCAAAAATCTGGAAATTTACCTAAAATTCCTTTAATATTCCAGAAATTTTTGGATGTTTTTTGCTATTAGTTTGAAAAAATTGTATAAAAATTTAAATAGGACAACATTTGAATTTAAACAAATATATTTCCTATATTTGAAATTTTCACGAGATCAATTTTTGTAACTATTTTTTTTTTCTTTTAATACATTCAAAATTAACTTTTGTGAGTATTAGAAATTCTTTGTGAAAAGTTAATCTAAATTCCGTTTTAAAAAATTACAAAAGTTTTTTTTATCAATAATACGATCAGGAATTGTTTATTATTTTTATAATTTTTTCTTAAAACAGAAAAAAAAATTTTCAGGATTTTTATTAAGTCAAAAACCAAAATTTCTACAATTTTCCTCGACATTCCCAAAGTTCAACACAATACGTTTTAGTTACTGACACAAAAAAATATATCAATTACAAAAGTTTGGTCTTGACCAAATTTTTGTAACTCTTGCATAGCTCATCTAAGGTTACAGAAAACGTACGTTCAGCATTGTTTTCATAACTATTTATTATTAACCAATGTTTTGCAGCATTTCCATAAAGTTAGGGTTGTACACAAATTGCGCTGAACTTACACAAAAACTTGGGCAAAAAATAACAATCAACTGAAATATATTTTTTTTTAATGAACAAAGTTTTTGTAATTTTATAAAATAAAAACTTTTATAATATTTCTAATAAATTTAATTTAGAGATTATTACTAATTAATATTTCACAGCCTATTAAAATGACAATAATATTTTATAAAACTCTGCTATAAAAACTAAATAAATATTTTTTTATCAAATATTTATTTAGTAAAAAATATTATTAAAAATTAGGATAATAATTTAAAGTAGAAAAGGAGAAAGGGGTTCATGATTGATTACTTTACAAAGAGGTTATTAAGGGCAGGTAAATTTTGACTAATTGTCTAATATACAATAAAAATTGCCTAATATACAATCAAACTTTCTATAAAAACCTTTATTTTCTTCAATCATAAATACCAGGTATACTAATTTGACATTAGCATGAACATACTTAAGTTTAAAGTTTGCATAATGCCTAAACAAGTCATATATAAAACATCAAAAAAATCTTTGCAGCATTTGCCCATGTTACATTTAACAATATACTATCGCCTTTGATATGCAAACAAAAAGTCTTAATTAGTGTTCTTTTTTAATCAACTTTGTACAGTCGAATTAGTTGACTTGTGTTAATTCAGCCTGAGCATTCACAGCCCTTCATCACAGGGGTGTACTCTCATGGTCGTCTGGTGGATCGAGGTGACTCATTTTCTTAAAAGGCAACTGGTATTTAAAATTTTTTTACTATGTTTTGTTTTTATTCAAAAGTCAATTAAAACCACTGCGATTAAAGGAATTTAAACTATGTAATTTCAAAGTAAAACACTGGCTAATTTTTTTACCGGGGAAAAACCGGAGGGTACATCGCTGCATCATTTTCATCGTTGTCCTCAAAGTTTATGTCATCTGGAATTTCTAATCCTAAGCAATTTCAAAGCTTTTCCAGTAAATTGCATATAAAGTATATTTTGCTGTACATTGTTCGGGTGAGCATATGTTATGAGCACTAAAGTGCTTCACCTCTCTTTTTGAGGTGACCAAAGTATTGATCCCCATCACTATCTGTTAACAAACATCTGTTAACACTATATGTTAACAAAAAAGAAACCTGTATTATAATTATATTCCAATATTTTTTTAAATTCTGAATTAGAGTAAGTAAAAATCTTTATCCTGGATACTTTTTGACAACATCTCTGAAAATGTAAAAAAGCTATTTTCAAGTAAGTAGTCTATAAATCAACTCTTTTAAACTTCATTCATAACAGTCCATTAAAAACAAGCATATTTAACAATAAATGGTTCTTTTTTTGTTGCTAATTTTTTTTTGAACTGACTAATAATTTTTACCAATTACTCTTTGAAAACTTTCAGTTACTTTAATAAAAGCCTTATTGATATTAGCATTTTTGCTTATGAAGAAATTGGGTTGCTACTCAATGTGATTGGCGAAATCATTCTTAATGTGTTAACAATATCTCTATTTTTAAACAAATTAAATTTTTGAACACATTCTTCATCAGAGTGATCATTCTTCATCAGAGTGATCAAGTAACATGCTTAGCCTAGCGTCAGATTTGATCTTGACCAATTTCCTTTTTAACTAAAACTAAATAAAGCTATTAAAACAACTTAATGAACTATGAGTGTTTTACTTATGAGATATTCAACATTAAACAAAAAACTGTGAAGTAGGATATTTATAAAAGATAAAGTTGTTTTTTTGTTAATATATACAGTGCTTTGTTAATATTTTTAAAGATATAGCTTTTTTGTTAATGTAATAATTCAATAATTATAATTACCAAAGTAATAACTGTATCATAACATTATAGCATATTTTAAAATATACAGTATCAGGGTGTTACCCAGGAAAAAATTTCATACAGTGTTTTTGCGAAATTGGGAATTTAGGTGCAGTTAAAAAAAAAAAAAAAAAGTGAGTATACTTCCATTTTTTAGATATAATTAAATTTTAATCAAAATGTTCTTTTTTTGCTGGGTGTTATAGTTATAAATGTTTTATTCTAATTATTTAGCTTGATTCATTATGGAAATCTTCTAAAGTTTTCATTTTTAAATCGTTTTTCCTCTTTGTTTGATATACTGTAGCCGTTTTTCAAAACCTATTACGTATTTCGAAAAAAACGTAATTATTTGGAGAAACTCTTTGTAAAATGCTTTTTGAAACTAATAATTTTTATGATTTTTTTTAGAACTCTTTAAAAATATGTATTCAAAAACGTTTGTAGACATCAAAACTAGCTTATTTAGTGTAGATAGCCAAATTGATTTTTTTTTTACATAAGACGCTTTGAAAAGCGGCTGCAGTAAAGAAGAGAGAAAACAAGAACTAAAGACAATTGTTTGCTGTTTTAATGAATGTATTATTAAATAATTTTAATGTTAATTAAATTTAACAAACAAAATTTTCACACCACAAGTGTTGGAGAAAAAAGACAGGGTGCATATTATATAGATGATTTTTTTCCAGGAATCCCCGAAAATCTGGAAATTCACCTAAAATTCCTTTAATATTCCAGAAATTTTTGAATGTTTTTTGCTATTAGTTTGAAAAAATTGTATAAAAATTTAAATAGGACAACATTTGAATTTAAACAAATATATTTCCTATATTTGAAATTTTCACGAATATTAAATAAGCGATGTACGCAATTAATCTAGATCAAATTTTAAATTTCATTGAAACTTTGATCTAGATTAATTGCGTACATCGCTTATTTAATACAGTTTTAAAAGGTTTAAACGATTAGTTCTGAAGAAATGTATTTGACTATATAACTATTTAAATACTTTAGTATTTTAAAATACGTAAAAAACTTTTTTACAAATGTCAAATTTTTATCATTAGATAAATTTAACAGTTTAAAAACTTATTTAAATCAATAGCTTTTAAATGAAAGTTAAATGAAAGTTTTCGAAATCTTAATAACTTTTAATTGAAAGCAAAGCGAGATTCTTTCACCACACGAGGGCAGCAGCTAAATTTAATTGATGTATTTTAAATATCTAGTAAATTAGGTATTTAAATAAAAAAAATGTATTTAAATACAAAATTATTATTATTTTTTCAATTTAATATATAATACGTTTCATTGCAAGTTTTATTTTTGATTATTTTTGTTGTTATATTTAATTTACTTTACCTGCTAATTTATTTTACTAAGAGTATTAATAAATCTTTTATTACAAAAGTCTTATTAACTTATTTTAAAGTATAATATTTATTATTATGCAAATTTCTTTGTTACTTTACTAACTTAAAAATAAACAGCAAAAACATAAATAAAGAGTTTTTGAATAATAAAAATAAATTAATAAAATAATTTATTAACCTTAGCTCAAGATTAACTGACGTCAATAAAAAATAAATAAAAAGTTTTTTTAAACTTTTGAATGAATGATCATGTTAATGTATGGACTTTTGTTAATGACGACACGTTTTTGCACATTAAAAAAATCAATCAATTTAATTCATTTTTTTGTCATGCTTCTAATTGCGTTTTTTACTTGTCTAGCGCGACACTTAAAATCTGAGACTGATTTAATTTTTTTTTTTTTTTACTTTGATCTTATGAACCTTTGGGAATTTGAAACCAATTGGGAATACCGAGTTATACTCGGTGCCATCAGGCTGGTTAACACTTTGAGTATATAATATATCAACTATAAATAATATTATTTTATATAATAATGTTACTATTATTTTATATAATAAGATGTTATGCAATATTAATAATATAATAACATCTTAATATATATAAATTGAATATATTAACTTAATTATTAATATAACATTTATTGGTTGTCATTGTTATATCAATATTTATTAATAATATCACATAATGCATATAATCTAATTATATTAGGATCTTACTTCGTGCTGTTATGTTACTATTAGTAATAGTATTATAACATAATAAAATGATGATATTATACAAAAATTTAACTATTTTATTATTACATTATAATATATAATGTTATTACTGTAATTTATAATAATATAAAATCTTAATTATTAAGATGTTATTAAGTTAATAAGTTGTTAAATTATTATGATGCATTTATATTTGTGTTGATATCTATGATTAGTGTTAACTTTATTATAATATATACAACTTATAAACATAAATACATAAATTGTATATATTTTCACAAGATTCTATATCAATCTGATAATATAGCTGTATATGAGTCATAATAATATTACACAATTTCTAATATTTAGTGATTTTAACGTTATGCCAAAGTTAAGGCCGCTTATAGCTAACGTAACTTTTCTTGCTTCATTTAAACTGAAGAAATTTTTAAAAAGTTTGGTGAATATCATTTCAGTATGGTGAATACCAATTTTTTAGCGCTGAACTTACAAAAAAACTTAGTTAAGTTAAATGCAAATTGCGCAAGTTTTGTGAATATGAATTTCACAGTTTTGAACTTACGCCAAACTTACGCAAAAAAAAAAAGTTTACTGAATACCCTCCCAAATGGGTGTTTAAATAACTCGAATAAAATATTTTTAATACACTAAACTTAGTTAATTCTATCAAACTATAGTTAACAACGATTTTGATGTTACCAATGGTAGGTTTTTGTTTTGATGAGGTTTTAATCTACTGGTTTTATTTTACTAAATGTTTATTTTATTAAACTAAATTAAATATTCTTGTGGCTTTTTATAACCTTAACATAAAAAAGATGCAGAGAAAAAAAAGAAAAAAAAATTCATAAGAGGTCTGAGGTTTCGTACCACCTCTTGCCATATTCCCAATATTGGTAAAACATTTTTTAAGTTTTTATATAATTGATAATTTGAGGTCAGCAATAATTTGCCAACCTCAATCTTTTAGAGGTTGGCATCAGGTCGGCAAAAAAAAATTTGATGCAAAGGTCTCACCATAAAACATAGAAATGAGGTCGGCAATTATTTGCTGACCTCAAACACTTTATGGTCGGCAGTTAGGTCAGCATTGCCTAATGCCGACCCTAATTCCGAAGGTTGTATAATATAATAAATAAGTTTTTAGTTATAGTTTTTTAAGTTTTTAAATATTTTTTATTTAAAAAACTTTTCAATCTAATGTTACTTTATCATATAAAATATCTGCATGCTGAAAATATTTTTAAAAAATGTTGTTTTTTGACCCACCCTAACTTATGTAGCTGAAACTGTTAACACAGGTTAAATGTGACTTTTATTAACATTAGTAAAAGACTTTATTTTCTTTAAAAAAGATTTCTTTTAAAAAAGTAATTTTTGTTTAAAAGATTAAATTTTCAAATTATTTTTTCATTACGTGACTAGCATAAAAATATTTTATTTTTGTTTTTTACTTTTTAATTTTTATTTATTAATACTTTGAATTTATTAGTATTATATATTTTTTTGAATTAAAAAACAACCTATTTTAATTAAAAATATGATTTTAAATTATTACTTAAAAAGAAAATGTTAAACCAATTGCAAATGCAACCATGTTTTGGAGTTGAGAAGGGTTCTAATCACAGTTATAGTAACCTCTTCGACTGTAGTGGCCTTCTCAGCCCTGGGAAGGAGAATTAACATAAAAAAACAAAAAAAAACATGAGAAGCAACATGTAGTGTAGGTAGAAGAAAAAAAACCTCAGCAGCTTGATTATTTTTTATATATTTATTCGTAATATGTAAGTTGGTTGTTTTCAACTGCTTTTATAAATATAGATTCATTCATTGATTTTAGATTCATCCATTGATATGAACTGTGAAAAGCAAGAATCAAAAACACAATCTGCTGGTCAATTAAATATTCATGCTGTCTACCTACATATTCTTGGGGATGCCTTAGGTAGTGTAATTGTCATGACTAGTGCCCTAATTATTGTATATGCAACAGGTAGGACTCTTAAAAATTGTAGCAACTTTTTTTAATGTTAATAATTAATTTTATGCATTTTAAACTGACATGTATTTTTTAATAGTTTTTTCTAATTGATAAATTGCCTAGCCAAACAAAAACTCTCAGTCAATGTAGCAGCAATGCTTACATGTTTTACCGATTCAAGTCTATTTACACTTATAAAATGTAAAATATATGTACACTTACTGCATGTCCTACATAATTCAGTCAATGTATGTACACTTTTCTGAGCTAATTTTTATGATAATCTATATATTTAAATGTAGGGGGTGTGTATATATAAATATATGTATATATATATATATATATATATATATATATATATATATATATATATATATATATATATATATATATATATACACACATTTATATATATATATATATATATATACATTTATATATATATATATATACATTTATATATATATACATTTATATATATATATATATATATATATATATATATATATATATATATATATATATATATATATACACACATCGCATTAGCAATAAATTTGTATAAATTTTGATAAAAATCACAATATTTTTTAGACTTGACATGTTTCGTAGTCTTACTACATTTTCAAAAGGTTTAATTTACAATTAAAACTCTGGTAAATAAATTTAAAAACTGTAGACAATACAGAGAAAAAATTAACGGACAAATAAACTTGTTACAAACCAATTAAAAATTATATTACAAATTATGACAAAATAAACTTCCTAATATTAAAATATTAATAATATAGTAAGTTAGATAGATAAATTTATAATATAATGAGATGTTTGTTTATTTAAAGAAGGGTTTTTCCATTTAATATGAAGTGCTTCTTTTATTTTTAATTTGTTAATGGTAGAGGCAGTATCCAAAATCTGGAAGCAATCATAATTAGTGTTTTACATTTAATGGATGAATTTAAATGTTTAAAAATATGCAATTTCTTATCACTCGTAAGGTGCTCATTTATCCTTGTTGTCAAACACAATTAATTGTAAAACACTAACTAATTATGATTGCTTTCAGATTTTGGTATAAATAAAAATGAAAAAAGAAAAAACTTTTATTATGGAATTTTAAGTTTCATGCCTAACGGCAATCATCAGCCATATATTACAAAATTTAAAATAGACATTAAAATTTAAAATAGCCATGTATTACAAAATTTAAAATAGTAGTTACATCATGTTAAACTATTAAACAAAACATAAAAGATCCATTGCAGAGCATTTAAGTTAAAAAAATTAAATTATGTGTGTGTCGATCATTAATGCAATTGCAATCATGGCAATTATTAAAAAACTTAAAAAATTATGGTATCTGTGGTAATTTTTTAAAATAATAAAGAGCTATTTAAGCGATTGTTGATAAACTTTGTAATATATGGCTGATGATTGCCGTTAGGCATGAAAATTAAAGTTCCATAATAAAAGTTTTTCCTTTTTTCGTTTTTAATTATAAACCGCCCTGTTATAAAAATTATATGTAATCAAAATAAATTAAATTAAATATTGAGCACTTTTCAACGAACAAGAGTTGTGTATTATTTTAATACAACACTACATAAAACGATATATATATATATATATATATATATATATATATATATATATATATATATATATATATATATATATATATATATATACATATATATATATATATATATATATATATATATATATATATATATATATATATATATATATATATATATATATATATACAAAAAATTATATATATATATATATATATATATATATATATATATATAATATACAAAAAATTATATATATATATATATATATATATATATATATATATATATATATATATATATATATATATATACAAAAAGTTTACTTTTGATACGATGTACCAAAAAGTAAAAAAAAATCAGGATCTCTAAACCAAAATAAGTAAAATTTGATATAGTCTGCTGATAATTAGTTGTTAGTTGTGCGCGCATATTACTCATTTCATTTTAAAAAAATTTTCTGAGCTGCATTATTATGCTCAGATGTTTTCTTTATCGTTGTCCTGATAAAATATTTTATATTTAGGAACGTGGACGTTGTATGTCGATCCAACTATGTCAATTATAATGGTCATGATAATTCTGAAAACCTCTATACCATTACTTGTTAATACTTCTAAAATTTTAATGAACTCAGTACCCAATCATATTCAAGTAAAAAACATGAAAGAGCGTCTATTAAAAAAAATACCGCAGATACGTAATGTTCATGAGCTGCACGTATGGCAACTTGCTGGCGATAAAATTATTGGTAGGTGTAAAAGGTGGTTTATTAAAGCCATAAGCTTCAACCGCTACATACTTTAAAATATTTAGAAATTAATTTATAATAAACTTCTTGTGTTGACCTTTATTAATTCTGTTTTAAATTTTTGATTATAGCTTCAGTTCACGTAAAATTTGCTACACCACATGATTATGAAGAGACATCTCTAAAAATTAAAGAGTTTTTCCATAATGAAGGAATACACTCTACAACTGTTCAAATTGAATTTGAAAAACAAGATAATGAAGTTGATAGACGCGGCCACTGCATGGTTTTATGTTCATTAGACAGTGCATGCGATGAAATGATGTGCTGCAAGCCAGGAGATGACAGCAAATAAAATTATTTTTTCATCGGTTCTTTATTATTTTTTAAACTAAAAAATTTATTTTTTGTATGTATTGTATCTAGTATTAAAAATGGTGACGCGATCATGTGCTACAAGCCTGGAAATGACAACAATTAAAAATTATTTTTGTTATTAAATGTTTATTTTTTTATATAAATTGTATTTAGTATTAAAAAATTTATATCAAGATATTTTAGTTTCTACATTATTTAAATATAAATATTTGGCGTATTTATTTAAATATTTATATAAATATTTGACGTATTTATTTTTTTAACAGACTTATTATAAATGTATTATTATTAATGTTTGTATTATTTATTATATGAGATAAATGTGCATTTATTCTGACTTTATTACATAATTTTTTTATATTGTATTTTATGTTAAAAAGTACTAAACGATAAGTCTGTGTAGTTTACGCAAAACACAAACTTTTTTTATCTGTTGTTTTATATTTTATACTATGATCATCAAAAATAAGTAAGTTTCTTGGCTATCTTCTTCGTTTTCAAAAGTTATTATGTCTCAATCATTTTTATTAAAATGTTTTGCATTATCATTTTTCAATTAGAAAAAAAAAAACATAGTACTACATATATATGAAAGAAACATAATACTACATATATATACAAGCACTATAACATAAGTTAAATGAAAATATTTTCTAAATCACTTTTGTTTCCTTCAATGGTATTAAGGAATAACCTGCTTATTTGTAATTGAAGAAGATTGTATAAAAAAACTCTTCAATAAATCTGCCATTGGACTAAACATAAAGCTTTTACTTTACTGCCATCTAAGGGGCCATAAGTGATGTTAATTTCTTTCCCCCTTTCCTCAGAGGGGTAGGGGGAATTAAAAAGATTAAAAAAAAAAAAAAATTAAATATATTTACACCATCTATTTTATATTTACATATAAGTATATTATATATTACATATAAGTATATTTAGACTATCTATTTTATAATTTATATTTATGCTATCTATAGGCAGGTTTACACTAACCAATTTTTGTGAGTGTGGTACATTGATCTCTATAATAACTGGATAGCGCAACTCTGAACAAAATTTTGAATTTTTTGACGCCTAAATCGCCATATTGGAAAGCCCCAGAATTTGAATAAGTAAGCCTTTTAAAAAATTTATTTATTGTCTTCATTTTGAAAAAACCTTTAAGTAAGCCTTTGGCTTAGTTTTTCGAGTAATCGCTTTAAATACAATATCAGTCTGTTCTCCTATATTCTTTATTTCCATTCAACTCTAATTTTTTTCGTGCTTTTTTATTTTACTTTGTCAATTTTTAAACTTTCAAACATTTTTAATATAACAATATGATTGAAATATGCAACTATAATTTAGTAAATATAAACGAAGTAGAAAGTAAAGCAATAACAAATCTTCAAGCGCAATCTCTGTATTTACAAATTCCGTTCAGCGTTCTGGGGCTTTTCAATATGGCGATTTTGGCGTCAATTTTGATATTAGAGATGCGCTATCCAGTTACTATAGAGATCAGTGGTGTGGTATCAAAAGATAGGCAGTCACCATAATTGAAGCGTTCGAGTCTTGTAAAGTTTTCTTAAATTACTTTACCCACTGAAGGAAGTACATCTTTTACAACTACAAGAAACATTCATGAGTCTTCAAGAAGTTTTGATAAGCTGAATAATTTAGTTTTGTTTATTTCGCCGTTGAAGAATGTATATTATGCGCGCACATAAAAACTATTGGCTTGAGCAAGAAAAAGAAAAAATTATCGTTATCGCAAGATCTTCATCATTATTATATTAAATCTGTTTTTATTTAATTTAAGCTTACTTTAAAAGTAACGGTTGAAATCGAATATGTTAAAATTTATCAATAATAATTATTGTTATGATTTATAAAAGAGAAATGTTTACTAATGTTTACTAGTACATGGAAAAATATACATTTGGTTTTATGAGCAGTAAAAGTTTGTTACTTACGAATTTCATTAACTTTACATTAACTATATTAAAAAAGCGTTTGAATTTCTCTGTGAGGATAAAAAATATTGGAATCATCTGGAAGTAAAACAAGGTCTAATTGATTTTTTACTAATAAATCTCAATAGAAATAAAAGTAGTTTTAAGAGTCCTTAGCAACCCTACAGGTAACCAGGGAAAAAAAAGGAGAATAATTTACTTTTCAATCACCCTTTGATGAAGTTTTTTTTTTCGATTATTTTATTTCGATTTTTTTTTTTTTGAAATATTATAATCTATGGTTTCAAAAGCTTCGAAGAACAAAAAGGAGCTTTACAGATCAATAAAAAATTCTTATCTAAAACAGTCAATCTAAGGTATTAGATGTTTTTTTTATATTAATTCACTAACCCAAGTCTAAAAAAGCCACTATAGACGAGGAGGCTACTTAATTGTGGTTATATGATTTTTTATTTTTTTTTGTGTTTTTTGATTTTATATTTTTTTGTGTCTTTTGATTTTTTATTTTTTTGTGTTTTTTGATTTTATATATTTTTTGTTTTTTATTTTACAGCCGTTGTGCAAAAATAAATCGAGAGTTTAGATAAAGTTAAAAAAAGAAGATATTCAAAATAGGTTAAAGGATGTTTTTTTTGAAGAAAGACAAGTTTTTATTAAAACGATTAAAAAATTACAAGACTTTTATGCAAACTTTATGTTACGAACATTATAGATAACACTTATATGTTAAAATAATATATCATAAAATAAGTGCTGGCAAGTATTGTCTAATCATAAATAACAATAATTTTGTTGTACAAAATAAATAAATTGGCAGAGAAAAGGAAATCTTTACTAAACATGCAGATCTTGCTATGAGCCGTTGTTTTACTTTAGCTCATATGTTTAGTTTTAGATTTCCATTCTCTACGTGGCAAAAAACGTTCATTATACAAAAATATTGACAGAAAATGTCCGCAGTGTTTCTATGAACATGATAATTATATTTTAAAGTAATAATATTTCTGATGTTCCTGATTATTACCCTGATCACTGCTGTTGGGTCAATTTTTGTGTTGTAACATATGGTGGCATCTGCTGTTCCATATTATATTATACAATATAAAAATAATGTCATACAATATTTATTATAACTATTATATTAAAACAATATTTATTATAACATATTATACAATATAAAAATAATGTTATACAATATTTTTTATAAAAATGATTGATCGTCTTTCTACCTAATATTATTGATGCATTAGAGTGAAAGACGTTGTGTTAAAAAGATTGCATAGAGAAAGCGGAATTGATTGCACATTTTTATATTGTTAGAAGGTGCAATACATACTATTAATTAGGTCATCTAAATAAAGTTAAATTGCAATGTAATATATATATAATAATATTGCATAACATAATTATATATAAAAAAAAGTTTTCATATATACATAATTATATAAAAAAAAAGTTTTCATATATACATAATTATATAAAAAAAAAAGTTTTCATATATACATAATTATATAAAAAAAAAAGTTTTCATATATACATAATTATATAAAAAAAAAGTTTTCATATATACATAATTATATAAAAAAAAAGTTTTCATATATACATAATTATATAAAAAAAAAGTTTTCATATATACATAATTATATAAAAAAAAAGTTTTCATATATACGACAGAGCCACTTATTATAATTTTTTATTTGACTTTCGTCATTTAAGCGTGAGAAAACTAACATTTTATATAGAAATTTACTATATTGCTTGTGGGCTTGTTTTTAATAGTAATCTTTATTCATTAACAAATCTTTTTATTTTTAAAATTGGCTAAGATTGCTTGTGGGTTTATACTTTTTTTTTAATCTTTGAAGAATACTTTAAAAAAAAAAAAGTTTTTGTTTAATATTAATATTTCGTAACTTTTTGTAAAGACTAAAAACTAGAAAATAAACTTTTTAATTTAAATTTAATTGTTCAGTAAACTAAAGATTAGCAGGTATGTTTCTATATAAACCTTGCGCAGACCTGTATTTGCAGTTTCTAAAGTAAAAAAAAAAAAGTTTCCATAAAATGAATGTTGATATCGTAAAACTAGTATTCGATGTGATTGAACCTACTTAATTAGAGCTGAATTAAAAAGAATGTTTGCAGCCGAATTAGGCCCAACAATAACATAGTATTTTTTTTTCTTTTTTTGTAATCAATAATATGTAATCTACTTTCAATAAACTAATTTTCCATTAGTGAGCAGATTTCCATTAGTGAGTTTTCCATTAGTTCCTGTTACGTTTATATCAAATCATCAAATCAAATCAAATATATTCTGAAACAAGTTGTTTAACATTTCAAGGATATTTACAATTGTACGAGTACTAATATAAAGCAAATACCTAATACAATATATTAATATAGACATTTAGAAATATATTAATAGTAATAATAATATTATATTAATAGTGCAAATACTACAAACAATTAAAACAACAATAAACATTAAATCAGTATATATATATAGCAATAATAAGTAATAATGATATTAAAATAGAAAATAAAATAAAAATAATAAAAAAGTTAATATTACTATCATCTGAAAACAAAATAATAATGATAAGAATAATATAAGATAATAATGATAATAATGATAAGAATAATAATCATAATATAAAATTCAAGCATAATAAAAAAAGAATAATGATCATAATGAAAAATCTTTAATAACGATGATAATATTACCAATAAAAAATAAGATAAATAGAAATGAAAGAAAATAAATTGATGATGGCGATAAATAAAGATTCAAGAAAATCCTCGTCAATAGCAATGATAATATACTAACAATAAAAATAGCAAAATGAAAAAAATAAATATATAAAAGGAAAAGCCGAATAAATAACCGAGGAGTTAAGGATAAGAAAAGAAAAGGTAGATAGAATTTGATAAATAGACAGAGAATTTAGAGTTATTGAAGATAGGAGATTGAAAAGTTGGAGGATTACTAATTTATTAATATTATAGGGAGTTTGGAGTTTGACTGCAGAGACATTTATTTGTATTTTATTAACAAGTGATTGAAAAGCTTGATCTTGAAGTCAAAGATTGAGTTTAGAGATTTTAAATCAGGGGGGAGTTAATGGATTCGTTTCCATACTTGATAGAGTGGTATTTTGAAACAGATAAGTTTAAATTATTAAACGAACGAAGAGGATATTGACAGTTTAAACATTTATTATAAAAATTGTTGAACGATACTGGAAGGTTATGGTGATGGTAATTCCAGACAAATTAACAATAAGGAATATAACTAGGTCACTTAATTTTAGTATATTGGAAATACAGTACAGCATACTAGATTTAAAGTTATTAGATTAAAAATACATTATTTTTAATCTAAACATTGTTTACTTTTTTTTTTTTATAATTCATTTTATTTACATTATACTTACATTTACATTACATTATTTA